TATATATATATATTTTTAGTAGCCCTTAAGAAAATAGTATAATCGGTGGAGTAAAATTTAAGAATTTATAAAATAAATCTAAAACACATGTTTCTCTATCAATCTTAAAATTATTTAAAAATTCGAAGTAACTCGAAATTACAAAATAACTGATAAACATGTTGCATTTACAACTAAGTCTATTCTCAGAAGCTACAAGCCCAGTTACGTAGTAAGAAGAATGTAATGTAACTCTTGGACTTTTCAGACATGCATCATTTTCTATAAACTAACGGGATCAATCATGTATCCCTTAGATTCTTAGCATTGCTTATGTAAAAACATAAACTTTATTTCTTTTTGTCAGCTTATTACAAAGTAATGAAAAAGTTAATCAGAGCAAAATTTTTTGAACTATATATTAACGAGTATCTGATTCAATTTGCTTTTTGTTCAATATCATTTAATTCATAATTGTAAAAGTTCTATTTGTGTCTAATGTAATTAATAATAGCAATGGAAAAAATCATAACGTTGTTTATTATGTATATCAGTTAAATCATACAGCTAATCGCATTGAAATAATTGCTGTTATCATATATAAACAGCTATTCATATGTGATAACATAACTTAATTTATGTAAATGTAACAAACAAAATTGGAATATATCTTAATATTTAATTGTAGTGGCCGAATAGATTGAACAATTTATCTTACAGTAAAAAACTGATATGACAAAATATTTGTAACTGAATAATAGTACGAATTATGTTTTTACATGTATGCAAAATTAAAACTGCTATGTGCAATTATTTACGAATTTCAATAATTTCTTCTTTAGAAGATATCAATGCAACTCAAAAATATCGTTTGGATGAATTATCACTATTATACTCGTTAAAACTACAAAGTAATAACAAGAACGTTAGCTTTAAAAATTGTTTTCGCAAAATATTATATTAATACGTCATGCGAAGAAACCTAAATATTTTTGCATTTCTGCACTTTGATTACAAAATGTATCCAGTCATTCACGCATCAATATCGCTCTATGTACAAGCTAGAAGTACATAAACAAGATCGTAGTTAAATTGCGATAAAAAGTAATTATCTTATTTAGTACTCTAAAGGCCATGTCATACATTTCAGATTATTTTTAAAATTCTTACGGTACTGCCAAAAAACACACATTGCAATTACAAATCGCCGCTTTCTCTCTTTCTCTCATTACACAATCACAAAGTCGCCACTGACCTAACAACAGCTATCGTATCCAAGAGGAAAAAAAGATCACACTTCCTAAACTGATGGGACTATAACGTCTTTTATAACTAGATTAAAGTTTATGTTATCACATGCTTCTGATGTCGAAACCGATAGAAATTTAATTTTGGTACTTAATGTATAATACAAACGTTTTATAAAAAGACTATTACAGTTTTACTGCTGATAACTAACTTATGCAATTGTTGTCTCCGTCTCTCGTCTTTGTAATTACATCTTAACAGTGCGATGTAAATGTTTATCTGTCATTATTTCCAAAATATGTCATCTGTACACTGATAGCAACTTTTTTTCTTTTTTAGCACTATTAATTTCATTCATAACGATGCGTATAATAACGTACATTTTGCTTTTTATATAAACAAAAGTAAAAACGTACACATCCCATGCCTCATCTTCCATGAATATAATACACATCAATATATACGTATATACTTACTAATTGCAGGATAAACATAAAACTGAATTTTAAAAAATACATTTAACAGCATAAGTTTTACTTATAGCTGTTAATGTAAGCACTAACATATATTTTTTTACATATAGAATAAAATAAGTAATCGAAAAAATATAATTCATAGTGGATTTAGTTGGCTGCACTGGTGCGCATTAGTGCATATTTTTAAATGTTATACTCAAATTTACAATAAACATAAGTAATTAAAACATCAAAATAATTAATATTAATAGTATTATAATTATTCGTATTAATATTAATAGTTTTATAATTATTCGTATTGAAAAATAATAATAGCTCTTAGCATTAATAATTTTACTTTTTTAATTATTTTCGCCATTATAAATTTGTGTACAATAACCTTTATGTACACCAGTGCGCACTAGTGCATTCAATCGAATTCGCTATTAGAAATTTATTTATTTCTAAAGAAATAAAAAAAAATTATTTTTAATGCATATAAAACTATCAATATATTTCTAATGGGTTGAACGGAAAGTTCGTGCCGTTTTTTCGGTCTTCATCTGTTAGCGAAAAACGGCACGAACTTGCCGTTCAATTCAATAGATAGAAAATCCAAAATTTTCATTAAAAAAAAGAAACTGCACGAATACATGTCCAAATAAATTAGGGATATGTTATATTGATGCAGACAATTATACATATAGAAAATAAAAGCAGATATATAGAGATAATAGAAATATGTAAAATGTATGACTCTCTATTAGTAGAATAATATAATTTAGAAAATAATGCAATTTTTCTAAAAAAAAAATAATTACAGATAATTAAAGATACTTAATTCTAAAAAATTCTCAAGTTATTCAGATTTGTCAAATATTTATCGACTCATACTTTGCATAAATATAATACACACACACACACACACACACACACACATATATATATATATATCCACATATATGTGTTAATATATACTATGTAGAGAATGGTAAATATTATACTTACTGATTAAGCCTAATAATCTAGGAGGTTGCATCAATTGAGGATGCGGTACTCTTATGTTGGGCAAAACTATGGGATGGGCCCCAGGTAGGCCTAACCCTGGTGGGAAACGTGTTGGAGGTAGGCCATTGACCTGAAATTTCTCATTCAAAGATAGAGCCTCAAAAAGAAGTGAACCTTCAGACTTTCTCTGCTGTTGTTGCGTTTGTGGTTTACTGAGACCTGGAGGTGGCCTATTTGCAACAAGCCCCCTTTCGAGTTCTTCCACAGTACAGGCATTTTTCAAAGTTGGCAAAGACAACCGCGGTTGAGCCTTTGGAGGGGACAGATTCAAAGGGCTGCCCCATACACCAGGTCGTGGAACTATACCTTCCTTATCCAATACCAAATGTGATAAGTTATCCTCAATATCTATATTAGAAATATTCTGTAAAGAAATATATAAGGCATATAAGATATATGGAACTGTCTATTTGTTTAAAAAAATACAGATAATATAACAATATATAGAAGTAAAAATAAGGTGCAATTAGGTATCTTTTTGATATGCTATAAAGTTGTTTGTTAAATTGTATCTTATAAGCTAACATTATTCATATATTCCCTAATAAAGATAAAAAGTACAATTTTAGTATTTAATGTATTGGATTATTAATATTTTTAATATAGATATTACATATGACAAACTTAAAATATATGTAAGACATTTCTCTGTAAGTTGATATCTACGTAAATACTAATTTGCAAAAACATATATAATATATATTTATATAGAGTCTAAAATAATATTTTTGATACAGAGAATATTCCTATAGTAATAGCAAGGACTAATTCTTTTATAGCCAGTCTCTTATGATGTATTAAATCACTTCTTCCATTCTGTATCTGCTAATCTGCTTTAATGACATTATAGAATTAAATCCGTAGTCACTTCCCAAGCTCTTCCATAATTTTCATATTCTCACAACTCTGTATAATAAAATTCTGTATATATTATAGGAAATATCTCGAATACCCGCAATATACCTTTTTGTTTGTTGCATTCTGATTCTGTGGGCGATTTGATTCTGTAATTTCGGCAAGCTTCTCATGATCTTCCTCCCAATCACCAATAGCCGCATCAGGGCCAAATGTTTCATCATTCAAGGCGTCATATTCTTCTTCAAATTCATGTTCCTCCAATGGCCAATCCAGTCCATCCTCTAAATTGTTGTCCTGATTATACCAAATAAACAATAATTATTACAGAAAACACAAATCGTCAATTCTATCAAATAAGAAACGAAATAATAGGAAACATCATTGAAAAAAAAATTGGAAGTGGGTAAAAGTTAGTCACATTTTGAAATGATATTTCCTACATAATATGCAAGAGACTTAAGCAAATTAGATTTGGCAATTAAAACGGCACGCGTACATTCATGTAGCAGACTCGATTGAGATTCACCGTGCTCGATGTTAATGACCTTTAGGGTGAGGGAAATAGAAATGAGGTTAACCCGACGTAACCCCGCTTCGTCATTTGGCATAAAATTTTATTATTTTCGGGGATGATTATCGATGCGATCGAAAGCGAATTTGCGTAGTCTCGAACGGAAGTTGCGGTGTTACGGGATATTGCGGCGGATCTTGTAAGTCGAAACTTTTATCTCTCGCAAGGATACAGATATGCCGCGACGCGGACTGTTTATCGGGAAGGAGATTCACGCTCGCGTACCTCGCTAGAATTCAAATAATCGAGCCAGATGCGAGTTCGCGTCCGCGCGTAAGATCAGAAGAAGATCATACTTACTCCGAGCGTGGTATCGAAACCGAAAAAAGAGTCTGCCATTTGTGAAAATGAAATCTGCAAAATGACATGTTCTGATTAAACGTCAAGTGCTGCGATGAGCATCAGCTGCCATGGCGGCCATGCCGTAACTCCTGGCGGCTAACGTCAGTCGTTGCTTAAGGTGGGTTTACACTGGGCGAACCGAGTTGTTCAGGAAAGAGATGTTTATAACATGTCTTATATTTATACGTACATATACAAGAGCAGATTCAATTTACATTCACGAAGAGATTCGACATATGAAAAAAAACGGTCCCATCCCCACCACGTGTTCGCTAAGAGTCCGCACGTGGTTTTACTCTCACGTGCACGCACATGCAGTATTACGTCGTTACGTTATCGACGATAATCTTGTTCATCATCTCTTTTGTTCCTTTTCCCTAATTACAATATTTCCTTCTTAAACGATATAAATTTTCTTTCCGGATTATAGTAAAAACATGATGTAAATATTATATAAATATTTACATCATCAGTAAAACTAGCACCTTGGAATAGCATAGCTTAACAAAAATAATTTTTTTTTTTTTTTACGATAATAAAAAGAAATGGTTATTTTAATGTATTTTATTATATTATATTATGTGTATGAAGGTGATCCTTCTTTAAATCGTTCAATATTCGAGTAGCCGTTTTGATATAGACAAATAAAAAGAAATATGTTTGACTTTTAAAAGATTGTTAATATATTAAATTCAAATTATATTCTTGATAAGTAATTTCCAGAAATTAAAGCGATTAAAGATTTTGAAGATTTTGAAGATGATCTTGTTGTAATCGTTAAACAGCGTCCCATAGTATATAGCTAGAATTTCTTAATAAAAAAAAGAAAGAAGTGATATGAAATATGACACACCGATGATTGATCATATCAACTCTCTATACTCTATAGCTCTATACAATCGTTTCTCTCTTTGTATTTACTTGTTTAAAAACGCAAAAATTTACTCTTACAGAGCTTTATAATGGTATCACGTAGATGTTTATAATAACAAATAATTATAAATTAATAATTAATAATAAAACTAAATAATAGAAGACTGTAGTAACAAATCGTCTTATAAAATAATAACAAATATCAAAAATATTGACAAAATAATGTCGCTTCCAATTTTTTTAATTATTATTCCATGCGGAGATTCGCACTGGGAAAGAGGGAATGTATTATATAATATTCGACAGTGTGGATCGAGGCGTGCACTTTTTATTGCCATTAAATCTTTTTGCATCGTACTACTTTCCGTTGATTTTTTTTTTTTACCTGCCGAATTATGATTCTTAAAATTATTTCTAATCGCATGCGGATACCAACGCATTAAAATAAATGAAAAATCCCATTGTGTTTTTTTAAACGCTACTCGTCGCGTGACAGTCCTCAAGTGTTGCTAGGCTGCTGGCCCTCAACGACGCCAGGCTCAAGGAACTATGATTTAACGTATTCATGCCGTGTGGATCCTCGCAATGCAGGTACAGCCGTGAACTGACAGATTTGTGACAGTCGGGACATAAACGCTTCTTCTTCTTGTCGCGTCTCTTCAGGATGTCGTACGCGCATCTGCAAACGTTGCGGGGAAAAATAAGGGCAGGAGAAATATTATTCTGAAAGAATCGCGGCAGTTTACTCAACGTTACATTTGATTCTCACAATTCTTGTGCGTTTTATTTCATTTACTATTCTTAGAAAAAAAAAAGAAAAAAAAAATAGTTTTCGAGAATCTCCGAAGTTTCCTACCGAGCGTGTAATATATGAGAGCAAGGTAATGCCTCCAGGGAATCGCCTTCCAAACCAAAGGGCTCGTTACAGCTTCCGCATCGCAACTCCAGATCTTCCTCCATCGCGATCGCTAATCTCTCGTGGTGCCCTTTCTGTTCTTCATCTCCCAAAGACCCGTAAATTCGTGATAGTCTGGATCTGACTGTTCGCACCAAGAGCTATAAGTAATCGGATCTTTGTAATCTTACTCTGTGTATATTTCATACGAAGACTCGTGTGTAAAATGTGTCAGTAGTATTAGAATATAATATTATATTAATATTACAGTATATTATATATTAAAGACCTCGCTTTTCTTTTCTTTTTGTCTCTCTATTTAGACAAACATTCAAATTTTTTTTTTCAATACCATTCTCAATTTAATGTGTACAGAAGAAACACGATTATTAATAAACTATTACTAGTATTACCGTCTTAATTCAAATACTACAATTTCCACAATTCTCTACGAGTCAATAGCAGATATATATATGTATCTTCATGGTAGATTCAAGACAAGTCTTAAAATCAAAGAGATCAACTTTGTCCTTTCACGTTTCAATTCATTCGGAATACTCGACGAGCGAAAAACTTTTTCGCATTTATTTCAAGTTTCGTTGCGATCTCCGACTAGACTAGAGAAAGGAAAGGATGAAATTTCCAAGTTTTCACGTTTGACAGAAGAAAGGAAATTGATTTCACAGTACATCGCGCTTCTCTGGCTCATTCTCTTCTTCACCCCCTTCCCACATCTCTCTCTTTCTCTCTCTCTCTCTCTCTCTCGCTTTGTCTTTCTCTCGGAAACGATACGAACGATGAGCGGCGAATTTGTATTGGCAGTTTACCTTGGCGCCGACCGATCCTGCCACTTCCAGGAGTCTGGTATTGAATTCGAGGGGCCGGCAGTTGCATATCTTGTGCTGAAGCCTGAGAGCCTCCAGGCATCTCGCCGCACCGTCCATCGCTTCCATTTGGCACAGCCGATCGCCGGTCGCTGCCGCCGAGCCCATCGCGCTCTCGTACTGTCGGAATGCTTTCTGCAATATGTCCATCTTTATCTCACCGATGTTATCGCTCTGACGTACGCGATGGCGTGCGCGATGCATGAACTAAAGGCTAATTATGTGTGCATCGCACGATCGCCAACTAAAAGACAGATTTAAATTTGACAAGCGTAATTTTCTTTCTATCGCGCCCTGCGGAAACTGCAATCGTACGTGCATCCGTGCATCCGTGCAGGCAGTAAATGAGGATGTTGCTAGTTAAATTTGAATAAAATTTATAGCCTCAAATACAGCGCAATAAAATATTATTTCAGAGTTACAGATTAATCTTTATCTATACATTATTGCTGTCCACTATTGATTTTATTTTTGTTTGTAAAAGAATACATTACCTTATAATATATAATGTGAAATTATAAATTGGATATGTATCGTTAACACCATTTGCGTAAATGAAAATATATGTGAATTTAAAACTCATCAAAGTTATATGATATTACACATATTCTTCTTTTTTTTTAGATACGCGCTTTAAAATTTTATTTTAATAAAGGAAATATCATCTTTCAATATTTTGCTCCATTTTTAAATGGATATGTGAACGGATTTTATGAAAAGATTTTATCGCTCGCTTTTTAACTAGGTTCGCAAAGGGTTTCGACGAAATAAAATGAAAGCGATGTGCGTTGCAAGCGTGACACAACGCTAAAAATCACTTTTGTAACATGCGTGACATGCAAAGGAATGCTCCAGTTATGGCGTTTTTTTTTTTCCATCGTCGATGACAATGCCCGTAACAATGTTAGAACGTACAATGAGGCTGTGAATGGTTTTGATAGCATCGTAATACTTGCCGCGAAAGCCCGATAAAAAAGATTTATCTATATAAATACGGCATGCACAATATGCAAGTAAATATATTGGTTTTATTTATTATTACACGATCGCATGCGTTTTTAAGTCACTTTATATGAATACACTAAATAGTGAGAGAGAGAGAGAGAGAGAAAAGGTTTTTCTCTCACCCTCAGGCATCACCATTAATCGCGCTTTCAGAATAAACATACATGAATGTATGAAAATTGCATTGATATACATATCAATAAACATATAAGTTGTATTTATGATTAATATACGCGATATTAATGGTGTGAAAATATGAAATATTATAGAAAAATTCATACGAAAGCTTTGAAAAAGGCTCAAGGCAATTCAAATTATCGTGGATTTTTTACTTACATTTATATCGGATTTCTTTCTGTAAATGTCTCCCATAATACGGATGCTGCGGGCGTAACTGGCTTGGTCACCAGAAACTAACGACAGCCTCGTCGCTTCCTGCGCACAACGTGGTAAATATAATAATTCATATAATCTATTAGATCATATTACTGTGGTATCGATTGGTCATTACAACTTTATCCGTGAAACATCTTTGATAAATGACGCGATTACGACTCTCTTACGCGGTTATATTCGGAGCATTTTCTCTCACACACGCAGAGATCTTTTAAGAGATGTTCGACGAAGCGGAAATAAAGTCGCGCAATTAAGAGGGAAAAGAATCGCGAGACATTAAAGATGTACGTTCGAGGAAAGGTTGGCAATCATTTTTGAAAAAAAAAAGAAAAGAAAAGTGTCACGCAGGAAGACATTTCGCTTAAAGTTTCGCTTTGAAGAGACCACGGTGATTCGCGATGATTGCCTATCTTTGATCCAAACCGACCCAAGTTTTGCCGTAGAAAAATCTTTTAACCGAAACTTTACCGAACAGTAATCGTGAGCGTCGCCCAACTCTCCCTTTTTTCTAAGTGCTGCGGCCATTTGTAATAACGCTGCTCGGTGATGACGCGAATTCAAATCTCCCAGTTGTAAACTTCTCGAGAGATCGTAAGCTCTCGCGGCGTATCTCGCGCTCTTGTCCGCGTCCTGTAATCTGCAAAAGAGTTCCGACAGGCCGACATACACCTGAAAATAAAACGAAACTTAATGAGAGTAGGTGATATATAAAAGTAGGCGAACAGATAAATCAAACTTTTAAATCAGACAGAAGAAGAGGAAGATAAATCGATTCGATATTATTTCTTTTTTAATCTCATTGGCACTGCTTTAATACTCAATAGAAAAAG